GAAGGGTGGGAGGAGGGGGAGGGAAATGGGAGGCTGGGAGGATGTGGAAACTTGTTTTTTTTTTATTTTTTTTTCTCCTTTCTCAATAAAAAAATGAAAAAAAATATAAAAGTTTCCTTGAAGCGGCTTACAAAGGAAAGGAGGCAGTAAACAAGGCTGACCCTGAAGGGCATTAATATGAACGGCATAATACAGGAGATGAGACATTTGTTTTATAGTGGTTTCATGAAAAATTCATATTTTGTGAGCATGGGTTCAATATAGCTATAAACTTCTTGGTCAATAATCCAGGCAGCCTCTCTCTGCCTCAGACAAAGAATTTCCAGATGTGAAAAACACTGCATTCATACATGCAGGCTCCTCCACAGTTGGACACAGAGGGCTTAGAAGGAACAATAAATTGGAAAGTTATTATAGACCACATCAGATCTTTAATGTTTTCCCATCTATTTCTAATAGATGTCTCTCCCCTCAGCTCAGGGAGAAGAACATGGCTGAGTGTTTATATTTAGCCATCCTATGCAATATAACAAAATATTCTGTTCAAAATTTAAAGAATAATAAAATAAAATTTCAATGATGTCGCTAGTAGCACTTGTAAAGTCTGAGCCCACATCAGCTTTGAAAGGATTGCAATTACTGAATTTGTCACATGATTACTATAGACTTCAGTTCATGATTTTTGGGGTGATTGAATATGTACCTGGACATTTCCTTCTGCGTGTTTATATCAGAAGGAAGGTTTGGATCAAATATTTTTCTCAGTAGTCTAAACCTTCAGCTGCTGTTGGTAGAATAGCAAATAAGGGAAAATAATACCTGTTGTCATTCTGGGGGAGTCACAATAGGGCCCAAACATTACTCATTGTGTCTTATCTATTAATATAAGGAAGGAGATTTAATGTAAGCTGCTTAAAATGATTGAGTTCCAAGGGAATGCACAAAATGTGTAAACCTGCTCTAGTGAGAACAGCAAAATACCCAGGCTGTGGAATTGAGACTTAGTCTTTCAAGCCAAAGGAGGCAAATCTCTTCCTTCTTCCACGGGACAAGGGTTGTTTACTTATTCTCAATTACCTACACTTATTTTTATCCTTAGACAACCATTTCTCAGAAAAACTACCCAAGACATTCTCCAGTGTGGAACAGTAGTAATATCTATTAAAAATGCTGGTTTTTGCATCAAATTCTAATGTTTTAGAGTGCTGTATTTGAAGTAGAGAATTCTAAATGATACTTTAGACCTCCATGTTGGTAACTAGATGTCAAAATGAATTACTGATTTGCTTACTATGATTTTAACTACCACAGATTTATGTATAAACTACTAAAATAAAATAAAAATGGGAGATCAAAAATGTGTCACACAAGAAAGGTATTTTTGCAATGTGGGCAAAAAATAAAATTCTGTAGTCAATGAACAAATCAAAATACATAACTAAGAATAATTTATTACAGAAAATGCTGAGTTTACTTCCTGATACTTATTTAAAACTGAAAATAACTGCTCTTTTTTGTATGAAAGATCTTTCTTTGATATTAATCCACTTAAACTCTGCCTTTCTTTAAGATACAGGGCAGAAGTATTATCATTTCAATTATAGACGTGCTTCTAAGAAAGTGAAGTTTATATTATATTTCTGTTTTTAAATAGCAAGAACAAGCTTACTGAGTTTTAATTTTTTTAAATAAAATTCATGACTTATTTTTCAGGTCCTATTTGACTTTGTTATCTAGACACAGTTAAGGACTAATAATAAAGGAATTTGCATTAGATGCTGTAGATTGAATTTCCAAACTTTCTTTATCCATGTTTAGTTTTCCATTTGATTTCTTTTTCTTTAATTTTTAATTGGTTTTATTTTTCTCTGCTCCTCTCCTTTCCTCTCCCCTTCCCCCTCCCCTTTCCCCTCTCCCCATAATCCCCATGCTACCAATTTATTCAGGAAATCTTGTCTTCTTCTACTTCCCATGTAGATAAGATCCATGTGTGTCCCTCTTAGGGTCCTCATTGTTGTGTAGGCTTTCTGGGATTGTGAATTGTAGGATGGTTTTTCTTTGTTTTATGTCTAAAAGCCACTTAGGAGTGAATACATATTATATTTGTCTTTCTGGGTCTGTGTTACATCACTCAATATGATGTTTTCTAGCTCCATCCATTTGTCTGCAAATTTCAAGATGTCGTTATTTTTTTCTGCTGTGTAGTACTCCATTGTGTAAATGTACCACATTTTCCTTAACCATCCTTTGGTCGAGGGGCATTTAGGTTGTTTCCAGATTCTGGATATGATAATAATTCTGCTAGGAACATAGTTCCTGGGGTTATAGACAAACCATGGATCTCCTTCAAATATTAACGATGTAGTCTTAATGCAGTTTTTTCCAAATAGGAAAAGAAAACTATGAACACTATTAACTGCACATTATGGATTTTTCCCTCAGCTCACATAATAGTTCCACCATAAATATGTTTATAACTTTCAGACCATGGTCACTTATATCACAAGAGGGAAAAATATGAGAAAAGACTGGTTTCATCTCTGTAAATCTCTGTCTTCTTTCTGTATTTGTAAATCTATAATAAGGGTAAGTACGGAAGCTTTTCACATTCTAAAAATAGACTTACAGGACTTAAATATTATAAATGTGAAATGCAGACTCATAGATCAGAAAGGGACCAAATGCCTTCATTCTATAAAAGCAAACTAGAAAAATATTACAAGTTGATAGAATCTAGTTGAAATTGACTCTAGTACAATTCAGCAAAACAACAGTTATACCTTCCAGGTTAGTGCCTATTTGCCATTCTCTGTTACATGTTTTCTGAGATTCTTAAAACTTGCCATCACAACAGCAGGCCCTTGTATGGGTGTGTTTGAATGGGCTTCAAACCCTTAAGGTTTTTACTGCCTGCAAAGTCACAGACTGTTATGTGTAGGCCCTGACTTGACCTTTTTTTCCCTTCTGGAGAGGGCAGGAGGTATCCTGCCCTTCCCATACCACCACCAACTCCAAGGGTTCTTCTCAGCAACAATGTCTGTGGCTGAAGGTGAAGACTGAGCAAGGAGATCATACTGTGAAGTAAAATTTATTTTTATATTGTTTTTATTGATACTTTTTGTAAATGTTTAGTGCATTGGAGTCCTTGGGTAAGGGTCTTGCACAAATCAAAACACAGGGAATGCAGAGTATGAACAACTGCATAACAAGCTTTATTTTGTATGGCTTTTTATGCAGACTAAAAAGCATTACATCAACTCTGAAACCCCCCTTTACCCACGTACATGATTATGAGAAACTCTTACCTCCCCTTGCAAGAAACAATACCTCAATTAATAACAGTAATAAAAATAAAAAGAAGTACATAGAAACAAGGCAAAAAAGTATACAGAAGCAAAACACTCCTTTATATCTGATAGAGCATGAAGAACTGAGCTCAAAGGCCGCTTCTCTATCCAGGGTACAGATTCTGACAGATCGTTTGAGAAATGGGCAAAGAAAGTTTTCTTTTATCTATGCTTAGGTTGCCCAACAACTGTTTCCCAGCTTCGTCTCATCTATCCCAGGAGGAGCCTGCACTCTAAGCCAGTTCTGTGTTTCCACAATTTCCTCCTTTTTAATTTTTATTTGAAGTTAAAAGGAGTTTCGACCATAAAGTACATAATTTTTTTTGTGTTTGGTCAACTACAAAACTTATACATAATCAAGAATAAATAAAAGCATAAGAACGATTACAATAAATATATCACTGGAGGTATGAAGAATACATGCACAACTTGAGACAGTGAGCAGACCAAAGTCTATTCCTGGTGGCCACTCCTTCTCTGTGAGCCTCAGATCCCAAAAGTTACAGCTGTTTCCTTATCACTAAGACAAAATGGCAACCCACTGACTGGGAGAAGATCTTCACCAACCCCACAACAGACAAAGGTCTGATCTCCAAAATATATAAAGAACTCAAGAAACTAGACTTTAAAATGCTAATTAACCCAATTAAAAATTGGGGCACTGATCTGAACAGAGAATTCTCAACAGAAGAAGTTCAAATGGCCAAAAGACACTTAAGGTCATGCTCAACCTCCTTAGCGATCAGGGAAATGCAAATCAAAACAACTTTGAGATATCATCTTACACCTGTCAGATTGGCTAAAATCAAAAACACCAATGATAACCATCTATGAATTGAAAGCATGTCTTAAGACTGGGTAAGAAAGGGTGATAATGGATATTATATATAATAAATGCAAGACCTTAAATGCATGTAAATAATTTATGTATTTATAATCTACATTTTCAGAGAATAATTAAAGTGATTTAAAATCATCCTTAAATTTTAAGGTGGGGAATTGCAGGGTCTCATTAAAATGTACATTCTCAGTCTATATGGGGACCTGAGGGTCCTGCATTTCCAACAAGATCTCAGAAGAGGTCAATGGCACAGGTACTTATACAGCATCCAGAATTTAGGTAGGATATGTTAGTTTACATTATAAATATAAAAAACAGTATTAAAAACTAAATTAAAAATTTAGAATTGGTTAATAAAAAGTAAATATCCACAATACCAAGAAGCTCAGTATAGCTGCAGTCTATATTTGCAGTTGTGGGCATACTCATATGTACACACAGAAATAACCACATTTGGGAGCATTCTGAATCATTCCCTTAAGAGTGGTGACAAAGAAACAACTCTTAGAAGAGGACACAACATATGAAGTCATATATGTCAAAATGTATGACACTAAAAGTCACAGTGGAACTAGAGTAACCCTAAAGAAAAATGAGCTGCAACTAAAATGCTGATATCTAACTATACATGCAGAATATTTAACATATTTCTGTAAAAATATGACTTAATTCACGGAAGCATAGGGCCCCTTCTCTTCAATGTTTCTGCTGGTGACCTTTGTCCTGGCGTCAGAGAGCCGAGTCCCATGCTTGCCAACATGTAGTATCAGTCCCACAAGATAACCTTTGTGTTTCTGTGTACAGTATGATAAAGTCAAAGTTCACTTTGTACTATAGTTTAGTGTCTGAAGCCGAGCATTCGTTAGACAGATTCTGACTTTTATTTGTTCTCCACGGGTTTGCTGCTAATAGGCAGTCTGTTCTGCATCTGTACAACCTGCTACAAAAATGGGTTCTCCAGAAGTTTGGAGGAAAGATATGAAGATGATCAATGGCTATCCTATGGTCTATGCTTTTGCACTCAATTGGGAAAGGATGGAAGAGTTCCAGGGCAGACCAGATGACATTGTGATATCCACATTCCCTAAATCAGGTGAGTTCTGTGTCCTAAAGAATGCAGGTCTAACCTTGACTTTTGTTTATAAGATTGTTTCAGATTTTATTTTATTTTATTAACTTTTTTTTTCATTTATTTTACACACCGACCATAGTTTCCCCTTCCTCCTCTGCTCCCATCTCCTTCCCCGGAGACTCCCACCTATCCCCCTCCCCATTTACTCCTCTTCTGCCTCATTCAGAAAGGGACAAACCTGCCAAGGTCTTAACAAAAGCATGGCACATCACGGTGAGGTAGGACCACCCTCCTCCCCCTGCATAAAAGCTGGGTAAGGAAATCCAGAATTAATCATATGCGTGTATGTATTTGTTTGTATCTGGGAAGCAAATGTGTGCGGGTGAGAGCTGGTATGGGCCAGAGGTACACATAGGCTTTAGACAGAGGAAAGAGAGGGGGCAAATGCTATTATAATATTGTGATCTCAAAAACTTCTATTTATTTAAAATGTCACAAAAATGTTTCATGTTTATATGTATGAGCTTCTTGATAAATCAATAAATAAAATCAAATAATATTGAAACAAAGAAACTAACTGATCACTGATTTTAAAAATTCTGTTTTTTTTTGTTACAGGTACTACTTGGATTAGTGAAATTGTTGACATGGTTCTAAATGATGGAGATACTGAAAAATGTAAGAGAGACGTCATTACTACTAAAATTCCAATGCTGGAACTGTATGAACCTGAACAAAATATATCAGGTAAAATTTAAATCTCCTGGTGGTTGTAATTTTGTAAGAGTATTCTCATCTAGCATAGTCCTATTTGTGATTCTAACTAAGAAAAAAGAAGAAAGAAAGAAAGAAAGAAAGGAAGGAAGGAAAAAGAAGAAACAGAGCATGAATATTTGTATAATTATAAAGGATTACTTACTGTGTTGTGAATTAACTATGAATTATTAGTAAAATATGCATATTCTCACCAAGGAATTACAGAAATGTTGTAACATTAAAAAGCAAATCAATTTGTAACATATTAGTTCTACTAGTCTTCCAAAGCCAAAGAACAAGACTGTATGAGACATATTCATAAGAAAGATTCCCTTAGATGTATGATCAGGGCTAGCTACAGTTAACGAAGGGCCAAAGATATGCATGGAAGGTGGGCAAACATAACCTAGGGGCATGAAGCATCTAAGTGTAAAGGGATTGATACAGTCAAGTCTTTAGGGTAATATAGGAACTAAAACAACAGTGAAGCAAGGGGTGGCAGAAGGTGCAAAGCAATTTGAAATCATATCCTGATGAATTAAATAAGCTATGGAATCGTAAAAGTTTCTTTTATTTTAAACAAGGTAGGGAAGATATTGAATTAAGAGTCACTGAGGTTTTTTTTGTTGTTGTTGCTGTTTAAAATACAAAATCGAGCTGGGCAGTGGTGGCTCACGCCTTTAATCCCAGCACTCAGGAGACAGAGGCAGGAGGATCTCTGTGAGTTCGAGGCCAGCCTGGTCTACAAGAGCTAGTTCCAGGACAGGAACCAAAAAGCTATGGAGAAACTCTGTCTCGAAAATAAAAAATAAAAAAAATACAAAATCTACCCTAGTTTCTCTGTGGGATTGAATTTAGGATGCTAGCAATATATTTTGAACTTATTGACTGACAGATTACCTGAGAAATTTGAAGAAAATGAAGAAAGAAGTGTAAGTTCAGAAGTTTTATTTAGGTCAACCAAATATGAAGCCAGGTATTTATTTGGAAACTTCAGAATTAAGAATTTTGTATAAGATTTTAGATTTCAGGTATTGAGAATTTTAAATAATCAGTTGAAAGATATTGATTCAGCAACTTTTAGTGTTACTGGCACTCGAAGGCAAGATTGTTGACCCAGAAAAATTGTAATACAGTATTAAAAATTGAAGGTTATCCACTTAAATTACCACTAGGAAGAGGTTTTGAAAGATGAGCTAACAAAAACTCATCAAGCTAAAAGGGAATGAAAAGCCTGGATCTAACATGCAAGTGTGAAAGTTCGCTTTTACTGAAGCTGCTGGGAACCTAGATAACACGGAACACACTAACTTGAGGTCAGCCCTTTCCGTGCTGCAATTTAATCCCTCCCATGCAGTGGAGACTGCTCATGGCAAGAAGGTTTATGTCCACCGGAAAGGGTCTATTGAACTTAGCTCATTGTCTAAAATTGAAGGGAAAATAATAGCTTGGAAATGAAGAGTGGTTTTAATGTCACAAAAATATAAAATGAAAAATTAATTAAACTAAAATCTGTAGGTGTCTGGGATTACTGGTGGGGCCAGGGTTAAAAATGGAGTCAATTGCCACAGAAAGATGAGTTGACGTTTAGCCAAGAGATAAATTATTAGAATTATTCTAGAGCCTAATCGTGAAATCTTCCTAGCAGTTGTATTCATGGATTTAAACCACTTCACTCAGAAAAATGACTACGAGACAGAGGAAAACAGGAAATCTTTTATGGGACTTGAGGCAAGAACAAAGAATTGCCATAGCGAAGGAAGACAGCCTTAGATTAACAGAGGGAAGTTTGCACCTCTAAAAGCTTACAATTTTCATTTTTGTGTACTGTGTAACATGGCTGTTGTGGCATTTCATTTGTATTTTAATAAACAAGCACATAAGCTCTTAGCCTCAGTTTTATAATCTTCTCTATTTCTGGGATCAAGGGCAGGCACCACTACTGCCTGGTTTCTATGGCAAACTAGTGTGGCTGCTGGGATTAAAGGTGTGTGTCATTGCTGCCTCGTCTGTAAGGCTGGCCAGTGTGGCTCTTTTACTTTTTTGATCCTCAGGCAAGACTTATTAAGATACAAATGAAATGCCTCTACATACTGTAGCTGCCAGTTTGGAGATATGAGATCCTTGATGGAATTTTAGGTTTCTGATTAATATCTTCAGATATTTGATTTTCACAACCTTATTTTTATTGTTATAAAGTGGTTGTACTTAATATTTAGTGTAGGCCATGGACTTCAATTAGCAAGATTTTCATTGGTAAATAGCATGTCATATTTCTGTTCTGAAGGAATTTCCATTCTATTAAATGTATATTGTAGAGCCAGCATAAGCAATAAGCATTGGAACACTCTGGAAATAAGCATATTTCTGCTTGTGAATAGTTTCCTATTTTTTTTTAAAAAAACAGTTTATTATGGACTTCTAAGAAGTCCAAGCTGGCCTTAAACTTAACATCTTCATGCCTCAGTCTCTTGAGTATTGGATTAAAGCTCCCAGTCACCTTTACAAAATACATGCCGTATTACATACAGATAAGTGTTATATAGAGCACTGGGACTGGATGTTGTATGATAAATTATAAACAGTTAAAACCGGTGATTGCTTGGAGTTGATTAAGCAGGTGTTTTGAAGAATGTATTCCTATGCTGAAAAATGGCAAGAGTCTGTAGTATTAGCAGATAATTTAGAGATTAGAGTTGCAGATGTGCTAAAACTCCAAGTTACCAAAGTCGTGTTTTAGTCCTTATTTTGCTAACAAAGAAAATGAAACTGACTCTTAAAAATTTAGAAATCTCTTCCTGAGTAAAATTATAGTAGAAATTTTAATACAGTGATGTAAATGTCAAAGTGCACACTGTTGCCTGTCTCCTAATACTACTTCCTGGAATTTTGAAAAACAAAACAAAACAAAATAAAAAACAGCCTGTAGTTATTTTGGAAATTATCTCCATTTAATATTGCTTCAACATGTCTGTAGAAAAATGTTTGGAAGACAGCAAGATAGCTTGGTAGGAAAAATCCCTGGCTGTACAGGTACGAGGACCTGGAACCCACATTACAGGAAAAGGATGGACTCTTGAAAGTTGTCTTCTGACTTTCACAATACTCTTGTATTGTGACACATGAACACATCTATCACACACACACACACACACACACACACACACTTCTCATGCACATGTACACACCCTCACACTAAAATAACATTTATAAATATTGGTGGGAAAGATGAAGAAATATGAGTTCCTTTCATACTCTGATCTTTCTCTGTCCTAAACTGAAAATTTCAGGTATTGAATTCTTAAAGACAACTCCATCGCCTCGGGTTATAAAGACACATCTACCTACTGATCTACTCCCGAAAAGTCTCTGGGAGAACAAATGCAAGGTACAAGCCTCCAGTTGAACTCTGTCCATTTATCTATTCCTGCTGTGAGAACTAGCAGTATGTATTGTGACCTAGAGAACTAAACTACACAAGGAAGTGCTTGATACTCTCCTCTTCTCTCTCCTGCCTTCCCCCTTCCCTCCTCCACTCTCTTCTTTCCTCTCCTCATCTCTCTTCTGGCTCCTTACTTTTACTCCTCTTCCCTTGTCACCTTCTGGTTTTGTTTTGTTTGTTTGTTTGAGACAGAATATCACTATATGTGCCATGCTGACCTTGAAATTGATATCACATTCCTGAGCTTTCTTTCCCAGCTGCCCAAGTACTACAATAATAGGAGTTTGCCACTATGAACGGTAAAGTGTTTTTTAATTAGTTTCAATTCATTAATATGAAATTTATGAGATTAAAAGTAACGTAATTCTCACACCAACACAATGCTGCTACTTTTATTCTTTTTCTGTGCCAGGATAATGTGGCCTTCAACAAAATTTCAGGCAAGAATATATACTCTTAACTGAAAGTTTGTGGTATTATTTAGTGAAATATTTGTGACCGAGTTTGTTTAGCAGGAAATTTTAAGTTCATCAATAGTTAATCATTTCTTTTTTTTTTTCTTGTTTTGTTTTGTTTTTCGAGACAGGGTTTCACTGTGGCTTTGGAGCCTGTCCTGGAACTAGCTCTGTAGACCAGGCTGGTCTCGAACTCACAGAGATCCGCCTGCCTCTGCCTCCCGAGTGCTGGGATTAAAGGCGTGCGCCACCATCGCCCGGCTTCATTTCTTAATTAGTAACTCTGCTATTAAAATTATCTAGTTTTTCTGATTTGACTTTATGTAAAGAATTTGGGTGTGGTATATAAAAATGAAGTGCAATTATCTTTATATACGAAGGTATTTTCTTTGTAAGCTACCCAAAACCTTAATAAGTTCATGAGAACAGTTAGAAGTCCTGATAGGTTAGCATTACGATCCATAACTTCCAGGAGAAGAACTGCTCTGCAATTTTATTTATTTATAAATATATTTATTTATTAATAATACCTCATTCCTTGCTTTCCTTTTTCCTCTCTCATGTAGATGATTTATATGGCTCGAAATGCCAAGGATGTTACTGTCTCGTATTATCATTTTGACTTAATGAATAATCTACACCCTGTTCCTTGCACCTGGGAAGAATATGTGCTGAAATTCCTAGATGGAAATGGTGAGTAGGCAGAAAACTTGGCTTTAAAATGTCGACTAGTTTTTATTTCAAATATTTCTATTTTAAATAACCTATCTTCCTTTATTTTGTTAAAAGTCAGAACATTCAAGTTTAATACTAACATATTAAATTCCAGTTTAGGAAAGTAACTACATTTAAGTGTTTACTATAAAATTTAACTTGAAAGTGTAATAATAATCAATGCCAAATGAAGACATTTTGTAATCTCTTCCCAGTGTTAAAAGTCCACTCTCAGTATTTATTCATCATTAGAGAGATGTGTTATACTTGCTGTATCAGTGATATTTATATTCACAATTGATACTTGATGTTATGTAAATCTTCAATAGGGTTCAACCTAACTCAGTGGTAGCCAATCTATTCTTACTTGAAATGTGCCTTTGCAATTTATGTTTTAAAAATTGATATATATATATGGCTAATTTTAACTTTTTGAAAATTGATCCTATATTGTCAGCCTCTTTGATTATCAAATTCTATAAAATGTCTTTGCAAATGGCTTATTAAAATTTTTTTGATATGGTAAACACTTATAGAGGTACCATTTTATTCTATTTTAGTGCCTTATGGTTCATGGTTCAATCACGTTAAGACTTGGTGGGAAAAGAAGAAAGATCATCCACTACTTTTCTTGTACTATGAAGATTTAAAACAGGTAACATAGTAGATGTTTATTCTGAATAATGTGCATACTGTGTCATGGAGAAACAATTAATATCTATTTTTCTAGCTAACATTAGAATTCAAATTAAAATGCCTTTTTTTCCCTATTACCCATACCTCTGCATGTCTATCAGACCAGTTACCACTTTGTGAAATCATTGATCTACATTTAGTTAACATGTGATTTCAACCATCCTTTTCCCTAAAATTCTCTTCTGGACTTACCAGGACAACATTTCTAAGACTTTGCACTTTGTATCTGTTTATACATCCATTTTTTTTTCTTTTCAATTGATCGCTATAATTTGATCTTCACTTCTTTGTTCTGCATTTCCTGAATATTTATTTGTATTTCCCATATATTCATCATTTTCTAAATGGAATTTCAGACCAACATTGGAATTAATTTAACATGTTCAAAAGAAAAAATGTTTAGTTCTCCAACCTCTCATCCTTTACAACTTGTATTTTCTTTTTACTATATCAACTTTATTTTTCCTTTTAGAATTCCAAGCCTTCAGTTAGGTTTAATGTTTAGTATTACAGTCTACCCTTTGCACACTCTGGACTTTGGATTCTGTCCATGCTTTGTTTGTTTTATCTTTCAAATGTTTCTCTTTCTTTACTTTTTCAATGTTGTGCCCATAGTCTGGACCTGCAAAAACCACCAAGAAATCAGATTCAGTGTAAAAGTAAAGAGCCTTTTTAATTATGAGTTAATTCAGTTCCTCTATTCATCCAACTCAGAGGGTGGCGTACGTGATACCATCAGACATATGGGGCCCTGTAGTAATAGGAGTGGCGGGGCTGCGTCCCCAGCACCCCAGCTGCCTGGCTAGCTTATGCCTGAAATAACAACACACAAACTGTATTCATTTAATCACTGCTTGGCCCATTTCTATGTAGCCTCTTCTAGGCTAATTCTCACATATTAATTTAGCCCATTTCTAATCATCTGTGTAGCGCCCCTAGGTGCAATTACCGGGAAGAATCTAGCCTATGTCCATCCTGGGTCGGAGCTTCATCGCGTGCATCTGCCTGGGAGCTGGGAGCATGGCATCTCTCTGAGGCGTCTGCTCCCCAGAGGAGAGCTGTCGAGTCTGAGCTCACTTCCTCTTCCTCACAGCGTTCTGCTCTGTTTACTCCTCCCACCTATCTTCTAACCAATGAGGGCCAAGCAGTTTCTTTTTATTTAACCAATGACCTTCCTCCATCATTTCCACTTTTTCGGTTTAAACAAAAAAAAAAAAAGGCTTTAACTTTAACATAGCAAAATTACATATAACGAAATAGTTATCAAGTAAAAGTTACAATAATCTTTATCATAACTAAGGAAAACTATAACTATAACTAACTATTCTTAACTCCATCAAAGAATCCAGAAAGATACAATACTACCTAAGCAAACAAGAAAAAAGCAACTTTTAAAACTCTAGAAATGACAGAGACATCTTGCTGCCTGGACAGTCACCCAAAGTTCCTCTGTACCGTTGGGGCATCCATCTTCAGCCTTCAGCCCATGGTATCCAGCAGACATTTCTATAAAGCAGGAAAATTCAAAGTCAGTTCAGTCACTATCTGTTGTGTCCTGCAGAATGTCTCACAGACTCTTTCATGAATTAGGAACCCCGAAAGATCATCTCACCTTAGGCAAGTTCAGTAATCCTCTCTCTGTGTCCAATTTATGCAATAGTCCAGGCAAGAGCAGTTTCTTGCCCAAATGGCTATCAAACTCCATAACGAGCCTCTTCGATGCCCATCTTCCTCTTGAAGTAGATTGGTGCTGCCAGGAGCAGAGTGTCTCATTGTCATGAAAAGTCCTAAGTTATTAAAACATTTAAAATGCCATATTCTATAATCTTTGAAAAATATGAAGAATGCCTATCTAAAATATATCTACGCACATCTAGAAAATATTAACTAACATGACTACAAACTTGACTATTATTTATGATTATTCATCAACAACCTATATTTCCTAATTATACATTACATTTTAATAATGAACTACACAATCACAATACCTTAATCAAGATCAGAAATACATATACATATAACAAAATTGACCGTAAATCTCTATCAATAAAGCAAAATCTATACTAATGCAAATTATTCATACCTATATCATATCCCCCTTTAAATGTAAAAGAACATTTATAAACATTTTCTGGGAATATGGGCGCAGTTATTTCTCTCCAAACTGCTTCCTGCTGAATGGGGACGTCGTTAATTAGGCCTTTCATGGTATAACCTGTGTGCTAGTTTCATCTCAGTTGGCAGTTGAACGAAGCAATTTTCTGAAGGTGTTCACACCAACCCTTCAGGAGGGCGTGGTCCATCATACCAAATCAGAATAGAAGAAATGAACAAAATAAGAAACTCCTTTCCAAAGCATCATGTCCTTAGATCCAAATTTCAAAGTCAAGGCATCAAAATATCTATGTTGGATTAGTTCAGAAGCATTTATAAATAAATATCTTTCAGCAGCTGTTGCTCTTTCCTCAGCATTCAAATAATTCAAAGAGAGCATAATAGCATACAGTATCAAAATTCTCTGTCTATTTTCCATCTTTGTGTGCTTTATTTTAACCTCTATTTTGTTTATTTTTACTTTTAACTTTTTGCTTTTTGAGACAGGTTTTCTGTATCATTGACCTGGAATAACTCTGTAGACCAGGCTGTCCTTGAACTCTCAGAGATCCCCCTGTCTCTGCCTCCCAGGCATTGGGATAAAAGGTGTATGCTACTACACCTTGAACTCACAGAGAACTGTTTGTCTCTGCCTTCTAGGCACTGGGATTAAAGGCACGTGCTACCACACCTTGAAGTCACAGAGGTCAATCTCCCTCTGCCTCCCAAGTGTTGGGATTAAAGGTGTGTACTACCACACACAACAACTCTCTTCCTTTTTTTGTTTTTTACTTTAAGAACTTTAACTTTTAGACTGCATATATTTTTAACACGCTGTAAATCATTTAAAAATTTTCTTTGTCTTTCACGCTCTCTTTACTGTATCTCTCTCTGTTTTTCTGACCACATGAGTCTTTAATTTACCAAGCAATCTCAGTAGGACTAAAGCCGTGGCTTTGAAGGCTGGATCCAGCCCATTCCTTAGCTTTCCAGCCTCATGGCTGAGGTACTGGCTGTAGCCATGTTTACTGCCACAACTCTATGGCATTTCAAGGTCCCTGCCAGCAAGTGAGATTCAGCAGCCTGTGCTTGCAAACCACACGAACCGCCTGCCTAAAAGAGTCAGAGTTTGCCCTGGCAGGACAGCCCAGAAAGCTGGCATTTTTTTTTTTTTTTTTTTTTGGTTTTTCGAGACAGGGTTTCTCTGTGGTTTTGGAGCCTGTCCTGGAACTAGCTCTTGTAGACCAGGCTGGTCTCGAACTCACAGAGATCTGCCTGCCTCTGCCTCCCGAGTGCTGGGATTAAAGGCGTGCGCCACCACCGTTTTTAAACGGCGCAGCTTTTTTCCTGCTACGGCTGAAAACCGAAAGCATATGTTCAGCTTTTCGTCAACACCATTTAAGTGTTTCGTGGCAGGACCTCTTAATGAGCTGCACTGTTTTGAGGCTAAAGCTGAGTCAGGAAGCCTCTCTTAGATGAGAGCGCTTGCTTGCCTCTAGCAAGCAGAGTGCCACAAATGCTTTAAAGCCAGAGTTCACGCTGGCAGCAAAGCCCCAAGAAGCTGCGCTTTAAAATGACACAGCGTTTTTTTCTGTTGCTGTTGCCGAATCAGGAAATCTCTCTACAGCACGCCACCAACAAACAGCAAAAATCTGTGTTAAACTCTCTCTCTCCCTTATTTTTAAGCCTTCTCAGGTTTTTTTAAGTGGGTTTAGTCCATCACGTCGGGCGCCAAATGAAGGCGTAAGTCACAGTGCCATACCAGTTTGGAATTATGATTAATAGGGTGGTATTTATTTAAAGGGAAAAAAACTTACAGAGCACTGTCCCAGGCAACAGCCCTCTATGCAACCAGGAAGGGAGTCTAGTTGCCAGCGGAGCAGGAAGTGAAGAGAGAGAGGAGAGGGAAGTGGCCACTTTTTTAAAGGGAGAGAGACCACGCCCCAATGGGCTGGTATCTCAGCAGCTATAGGCTGGAGGAGTGGGAGGACCTCCCGCAACAGGGCCCCTCATTTATTAGGGGTGGAGCAAGGGGCCGCATTTTGGGGTTTGTAAGTTTCATAATAACAGTCTCAGAATTGATGCACCTCCAGGCTTGGGAAACCCTTCCTGAACAGATTGGTCAGTTGCAACTGCTGAAAGGTATCTTTAACACATCAGAAGTTAACTGGCAGGTTCTAGATCTACTTCTCTGATGAGGTGAAATGCAGTAATCATAGCAACAGCCCCACTTCCCCATGGCCTCCAAGTATTGCAACCTTTCCACAGTTGCAGTTGACAAATCAGCTCAGGACAGCTTCCTCCAGTCCGGGGTACACCAATCTTGAGATTGTTACTATGCAACTAGCAGAATCCCAGATGTACTGCCCTTGGTCTACCCCCAATAAATGCCCCACCCCGCGGTGACTCAGAGTCTCTCCTACTCTTCCCACTGTGTTGAATGAATGGAGGACCTGAGTTACCTTGTAATTACAAAGACTCTTTGCTTTTGTATCGGATCTGGTCTCTTGGGGTTTTTTTAAGTCCAGACTCTAGGCATAACACCCAGTGAATTTATTTTAGAGTATAAACTTGCAATTCACACAGTCTCTATGAAATAGGTTTGTTCAATATTATTGCAATGTACTTTGCCGCTATTCTGGGTTATTCTACAAAACTTGAATAGTCCTGCTGACCCTCCCAAACCATTGAAAAATGTACAGAAATGTTTCTTTGTTTGTAAAGCTCCATATACACAATTTAGAACACTTTTCAATTCTCAAATCTGTGATGGAAACTAAAAAAAAAAAAAAAAAAAACTATCAATTTTAAAACTATACTTATAGTACCAAATACAGTGCTTAGGAGTTACACATAGATTGAACCTTTCATAACGTGATGACTTGTAGGCAGAGCAAGAGTAATAACCAAAATATCAGTCACAGTATGTCCAGTGAATGGTGACACGCTCTGAATGTGCTCTTGGAAAACTCCGGAGCATTTTTATATCTTGCCTCCGATCGTCTGAAATTTTCCACTATTTTCAGGTTGTAGTTAGTTTACAGCATAGAAGAGATCTGAATCACCCAAATTGGAGGGATAACCTCTACTATCTTTAGGAAGAGCTTCTGTCCTCTTTCTACTGATGTGATTTATTCAAAAAGACAAATTTTGGTTGATTCATGGGCCAGCCTAAGGAGCACTTGAGGAATATTCCAACACTTTTTAATACTCCTGAAATCTTCTATATATGTACTCTTAGCAGGAAGTATTTTGAAACATTTCAAAGTCCTGTATTAAGAATTTAAGCTGTTTGCTTTTACTGGGTGTTGATACCAACATCTCATCACCACATTAGATGTTACATTTTAATAAATTCTAATCATATCTTTCAATTTTAGTTTCAATCTAATTTTTCAAAATATTTTTGAAATGTCAATGAAAATTTAATTGCCTGATTGAAAGCTATACATATTAAGCTCATGCTATGTTAATAAACTAAAATGAGGTGATTGATTTTGGTTAATTTTTATTATTGTGTTTTCTGTCTGTCTGTCCGTCTGTCTGTCTGTCTATATGTGAATGCACATGCTCTCAGAGCCCAGTGGGGTCTGGTCCCTGGAAGCTGGAGTTAAAGGCTGTGGTGTACTACTCTTATGTGGGGACTGGAAACCAAAGGAGTCCCCTGAAAGAGCAGTGTGTGCTCGTTCTTTCTTTAGTGTGTTGAATTAGTGTCTTTCTGTGTAGCACAGCAGACTGTGAATTTGTGTGTTTTTTTATTTTCTTTATATTAACACCTCACATGCTTTTTAAAATTCATTTTACATATCACCACAGATTTCCCCTTCTTCCTTTCTTCCTCAACCCATCCCTATCCACTCCTCAGAAAGGGTAAGGCCTCCCATGGGGAGACAATAAAGCCTGGCACATTCAATGCTGGCAGGACCAACCACACCCCCTTTCCCACATCAAGACTGACCAGAACATCCCATCAAGTGAAATGGGTTTAAAGTCAGTCATGCAGTAGGAATAGATCCTGGTTCAACTGCCAGAAGTCCCATAAACAGACCAGGCAAGAAAACTTTTACCCACGTGCAAAGGGTCTGGTTCCTAGACCTTGAATTTGTAATGTTTCATCCTCAAACTTCTGCATACACATATGCAAACTCAAGAATAATAATGTAATTATAAATGCTACATCACTTTGTAAATTATATGAGTGGTTTACATGTTTGTTATTTCCTTGCATTTATCATCTCACTCCTGAAGAACCCAAAGGAAGAAATCAAAAAGGTTGCCAGCTTTCTAGGCAAGACCTTGGATGAGAAGACCTTGGACAAGATTATCCATCACACCTCTTTTGAAATGATGAAGGACAACCCCATGGTCAATTATACTCATCTGCCCTCATCAATGATGGATCACAGCAAATCCCCTTTCATGCGAAAAGGTAAAATTTTGTTGAATGTAATTCCCACCTTTACTTTCTTGTGAAGAATCAGTTCTATGATTTCTACTGCTTTATGTAACTTCTTTAAGTTTCAGTTCTTCATAGGAAATCAATAAAACCAAAAACATATATAGTCAAAAGTCACTTTATTAGGATCATCCTTGCAAAGAAAAATAATGTACCCAGTTACTAAAGGTTTAATACTTTCTTCTTATTTACTATTCTAAATACAATTGATTTTCATAATTATCATGCAATATCGTGAACTATCATGTTTATTATTCTACTGCATTCTATAAATTGGCATAGACACTCTTCTTTCCTCATTGGTCGCTTATCTAGTAAGATGCAACTTCCTTAAAGCCCCATATAACTTAAAAAATTGTCAATTTTTATGTAGACAATTCATCAAAAAGAAGTTTCTTTTCCTTATGGGAAATTTTCCCTTTTTACAGATACTATCTGAATTACAAGAAGGAGAATACAAATTTAACTTAGAAGAATATGGAATTTACTATTGAAATTCTTGGTTTGCTATGAAGCAAATCATGCGTATTATGATTTCTTATACATAGTCCATTTCAATAATAATAAATTAACACATAATAAATTAATTTAAAAATTTAGTTGTTTAACTTTTTACTAATGCCAACTACTATTTTGATTAATGTTTATTGAAATAAATATAGAGGAAAGGGACTTTCTTTAATGCTGGTATATAAGAATAACTCCAGGAATGTGTTTGGACATTGAAATACAATTAAAAAAATTTGAAAATCATTATATTATGACATTTTAATAAAAGTTCTAATCTTGTCAAAATAACAAGTTGTTTTAGTGTTAAATTTATCTGAAAAACACTACATTTGGCTCCAAAGACAATGTCTACTATAACAGAATAAAGAAATATGTTGTTGTTGTTATTATTATTATTATTATTTGGAGCAGAATGACTAATGTATATGCATACACAATTATATTTATACAAAGTTTACCTGATAGAACTTGAAAAGCAATTCCTTTTGTTGAAGCAGGCAAATTCAGCTATGTCACAGAAGGTAATTCCCCAAGGTGTTTAGCTCATGCCATATGAAAATGGATGAGATCTTTCATGACAGCTTAAAGATTGATGAGTAAAGAAAATGAGCTTCGTGTCTGGATTTGATGTTTTGTGCAGCATCATCATGAAAGACTACTACATGTTAACAAGATTGTGAAGTCTTTACATCTGCTGTAGAGGAAGAAAAAACATGTCCTGTGGTTAGACCAAGTTCTGTTTAAATTTGTGACATCAAATACATCAACTAGCTAGCAAAAGTTCTACTCACATCATTGACAAAATACATAAAACAATAACACATATCATATAAAATTTGGGGAAACACTACATGAAATGATATCTAACAATTTAGAAAAATTTCTAACCATAAATTAGACACATACATATATATGTATACACACATTATATAAATATTGGTAGCGATTGTAATTCATTTGTTTATTCATTCACTCATTTAAAAGACAGATTTGCATGTTTATCTAGTAATTCACATATAGTACAGGCTCCTCATGAATACCTACATGAGGCAATTTTTCTTTCAAAGTCATATGTTTGTTTCAAGACAGCTCTAGAGCTTTATAGGTTTGGCTTTAATGTTATTCTCACCTAAAATATAAATAAAGTATAAATTTTGTGAATTAGGGGAAAAGTGTCTTCTAATGATCACAGGATTCTCCTTTGTAAATTCCAGGAAGAGAAACTCCTCTGTTTCCCATTTGAGAGCTCTTTTGGATGATGGACAGTTCTTTGTGCAGATATTATGACTGAGAAAATAAAGTGTTGTCTTACTGCTGAAGATTGTGCAGGACAGTTAGGAAAAGTACAAGATCTTCCTTATGAAGCAGTATATTCCCTGAGAATTTAGATAAGAAAATTATCTGTCTCAAAATAACTCTTAAAATATGAACTCCATGCTTATTTATAAGCTTGTTTACCCATGATAATAATTAAATTTTAAATAGCATTTTGAAATAATCAGTATTTATTTAATATGAGATTAACTTTAAAGATCCACCAGACAAAATTAATTTCAAGACAAATATATGCATATACACCTTTTACCATTGTTACAAATTAGAATAAAACTGATAACATTTTTCATCATTTTTATAATAGAAATTATTTTTGAAGCCAAATGCTGTGTATTTCAAATTCATTTCTCAAGTACTCAGTCTTTCCCTTGATGAATATTAGCTTTCCTTTTGTAATTTATATTTTATTCTTTCATGCATTCTTGTTATTTTAGGTACTATTGGTGACTGGAAAAATTACTTCACAGTGGCCCAAAATGAGATATTTGATGCCGTCTATGAGAAGGAAATGTCTGGAACAACACTTAAGTTCTGCACAGAGATCCAAAGTAATTAAGCTGAAACTTGAATATATGATTTCTTAAAATAGTAACTTGGCCGGGAAGTCAAATGGATTTGTGAAGGGAAATAAATGTGCTTTTTAAACACTGATTAAATATGTCCTACTAATGCCTCAGAAAGTAATATTTCATATTATCTAGAGCTAAGGGTCTTTGTTATGTTATTTTTCAAAGGTTGTTGCTGCAAATTCCTAAGTGACTACTGAATTGGAGGAATAGCATTTTTGAAAAACAACATGGACTTGTTTCAGGTCATGAAACTTGCATTCTTGTTCCTGATAACATTGCACAGACGACTGCACTTTCCCACGTGATCCTCCTTGTCATAGTATGTAGGATTATACCACCCTTGCTATAGACACAACTTGCATGGTTGCACATGGACTGCATTTTTCCACACTTGCCCTGCCTTCTAGATCCTGAATATCTGATCCAGAACACTGTGGTCAATGGCTATAATGGCTTCTCATGCTGTTGACTCATTACTCATCTTTCTGCCATAGGCCTATTTGGATAGCACAGATCATGTCCCAAATAAAATAACTTAGATTTTGAAAATGGTTTTCTGTACTTTATCAAATTTCTAAGTGTCCAAAGGCTGGAGAGGTGGCTCAGAGGTTAAGAATATGGATTGCTCTTCCAAAGGTCCTGAGTTCAATTCCCAGCAAATACATGGTGGCTCACAACGGTCTGTAATGAGATCTGGTGCTCTCTTCTGGTACAGGCACACATGTGGGCAGAACACTGTATACAAAGTAAATAAATCTTAAGAAAAAAAGACTAAAAAAAATGAAAAACTTACATCATTATGTTTAGGTACAGTTTAGGTACAGTAATTGATTTTCCCCCTTTGTAGAGGGTCCTCTCAACTGACCCTTTTGAATTTCCCAGAACCATCCTTCACTATGCTGATCACCACAAGTGTATTTGGGTCCAACATCAGTACTTTCATTTCACAAAATGAAATTATCACTGGAGCTGAAATCTTCTAAACCTTAATACCAAAGGGAGAGTTTCTAGACTGAAGGTCATTTGCCCTGTTGACAGAGAGGTGGGGGATATATAGAGCAACCTCATGGATAGAAGCCACCTTGTACAATCTGTTTCTCAACTCCATATTTGTCTTGAACAAGGTTGTATGTAACTCCTTGTATAAAAAGATTTTCTGCCTGTAGGTCATATCAACCTATGTCAAATTGCATCCACATTGTCTCCAAACTAAAGCTGGTTGATATGCTCTGGATTTCTCCTTTATCTGTTCATGGGATGGAGGGTTCATTTCCATTGTAGACACACCCTCAACTGTACTTGAGATGGGTTCATTTCCATTGTAGACACACCCTCAACTGTACTTGAGATGGGTTCATTAACATTGTAGACACACCCTCAACTGTACTTGAGATGGGTTCATTAACATTGTAGACACACCCTCAGCCATAGCTGAGATGGGAAGTGATTGAAGTACTTGTATTTTACAAGTGAATTTTAGTTATAACAGTTCTCTGCTTCAACTCCAGGGAAGAAGTAGACCAGTGACATTTGCAAACACAGCACTAAAAGAGGCACGTCTCTGATTATTGAGACAATTCCTTCATATCATGCTCAATAGTTATTTTTCCTAGTGATGAAACATGTGTTCTAATGCTTAGAAATAGTTTGTAGATACTAATTAGGATATTTTGAAATACTGAAAATTAATTTTATTTTCTGGAATGGTGGTTTTGAGCCTGTAGGTTGTGACCCTTTGGAAGTTGAATGATCCTTTTACTGGGGTCACCCAAGATCATCTGCCTATTAGATATTTACATTTCTATTATTTATTTATTTATTTATTTATTTATTTATTTTTGCTTTTTCGAGACAGGGTTTCTCTGTGGTTTTGGAGCCTGTCCTGGAACTAGCTCTTGTAGACCAGGCTGGTCTCGAACTCACAGACATCCGCCTGCCTCTGCCTCCCATGTGCTGGGATTAAAGGCGTGCTCCACCACCGCCCGGCTTTAGATATTTACATTTTTAGAATGGTGGTTCTGAGCCTGTGGGTTGTGATACTTTGGAAGTCGAAGGAGTCTTTCACTGGGGTCACCTAAGATTATTTGCGCACTAGATATTTACATTGTGAGTCATAACAGACAGTTCATAACAGTAGCAAACTTATAGTTATGAAGTAGCAATGAAAATAATTTTATGGCTGGTGTCACCACATCATGAGGGTTGCAACATTAGGAAGGCTGAAAAACACTGTTCTAAAATATTTTTCTCAAGAAAAAAGCTAAGTGAGGCACATAATTACTTGCCTTAATATCATTACTCATAGATTAATCCAATGCAGATTCTGACAAAGCAGCCAGTTATCAGATAAGCAATAAGCATCTACGATCTACTCACATTTTGTTTTCATGGATTGTCTCAAGTAGCCACGTTCACTAGTACAGTGAGATACATTCAAGTTTTCTCTTTAGGAATTATTTTTAACTCCATTCAAAAACAATAACTTTGTAAACTTGAACTTTGGTATTTTATGTGCATGGACTATAAACTGAAAAATAAAATGTACATATTTCTTTACTGTTCAATAATCTCTGTACCTTTTTAATGCCATCTAAAACACTGCCACTAAGTTAACTTATAATATTTTACTTTTCCTTATTCATTAATTCCCAGGCAGAAATAAGAATTTTATCATTTTTAAACTGAAGCCTTATAATGCAAGAAAAGTGATAGCAGATATCAGTGGAAAATTTTATTGAACACTTCATGAGCTTTTATTTTTAAAAGTTCAAAGCAGCATGACTTACTGCCTCCCTTCACATCCCTTCATTACTAGACAAGTCCTGGCTGAATGGCCTTTCAAAGGTTGTGGCCACAGCCCCTTTGTCCTCGCCCTGTTGGGGCCACTGCCACTTTCTCCTAGCCCTGTTTTGAGGTGATTTGTTTCTGACTTGTCTCTGTCCATATCCCTAACCTCTTTCTGCCTGATAAAGTTATAAGGCTTTAGTTTAAAAACAGGATTAAAACATCCTTTGAAGGTTTCGAAGGCTGACTACTATGTCAAAAAATTATCAGCATATTTAGGTTAACCTAGATCTGTGTCCTTGGTCTACAGTTATTCATGTTTGTCTGTAGGAACAATAGGTTGTTCAAACTCTTGTTCCTTTTAAGGTAAGAACTAGGATTTTCATTTTGAAACCACCTTATTTATGGGAAATAATAATGTTCTTGTTTACCACAACCTTTTCTTGTTGATTTACAAAATGAACTAATTTGCATAATTACTAAGAAGTGGAATAATAAAATAAAATATATTGTACATTCTAATGCAAAATTAAGCAATTTATTATGTAGAATTGTAGCAAATTCTTGTTTTATTAGTTATTTTCTATATTTCCATGTGCCTGCTGCGTGTGTACAGGTGCCCACAGAAAACAGAAGGGAGTGTTAAATGCCCCGGAGCTATAATTACCGACAGTTGTGAGTCACCATACATGAGTGACGGGGTTAATAGTCATGACCTCTGGAAGAACAGCTAGCTCTCTCTTAATTACTGAGATATCTTCCAGCCCCAGAATGATATGTAATTCTCAAATCTTATTGTCATTTTGCTCATATCATAAATCATCCCAGGCTATCATGGAAAAAAATTATCACATTCATTTTACAGTAAATAACCACTCTTAACTGTTTCATTAGGACACATAAAATTATATATGAATTCAATAAATGCAATCACAATAAATGTTCCAAGCGAGAGTCAGCATGAAATCTCTGTTGCTTTAGGGAACTTTCCTGAGAACCTATAATTACATTTATGAATGTCATTTTTTTATCAATAGTCAGTGCTTGTTTAGAGTTCGATATAACAGTCACAATAGCATTGTTCAAACTCGCGTAGGCTACTTCAAGTTTCTACTTTGACCTGAAAGCTTACTTATTAAGAAGAAATGTCTCTGTGAAATTCACACTATCCCCACAAAAGATTAATAAGGCAATTTTGCAACAAAGCTTATTTATTAGTCACTGACTGTCCTCTGCCCTGTTCTCTATTCATGCAGAAAAGAACAAGCTGTCATAAATTTTATAGAGAATCTTTTCTCACAAGTTAGAGTGAAGCAAACAGAAAAGAGCATAGAGATGAAATATTTTCTTATGCTTCACATTCCTATATCCATTTCTTCAGATCAGAACTGCTGCGTACTTCACAAGCTTTGCAAAAAGTGAAATTCACATGCTTCTCTCTAGAGGTCCTGATTAAGAAACTCTAGACTGGTGCCACACACTATGTGTTTTATATAACTACTTCAAGTGGCTCCTTGGCAGTATTTATTATGTAATTTTATTGCCACGAGACAAATGCAAGTTACTTCTGTTTTCCCAATGACTGTAAAATGGATGAAAATAGCTGCCAAGACAGAATGTTTTGTTGATCCTATTCATATTTGCAAACACAGGAAGTAAAATAGGAGAGCAGGAAAAATGTGAAACCAATTATTTAGTATTAGTTAAAAGATAAAGGAGCTTGGCAAGCCAAAGCTCAACACTGTTTTTTTGTTTTTTTTTTTGCCAAATGTGCAGAGTTTCAAAATCAAACAAATGGGCAAGTTTCCCAGTACATCCTTCTCACTGTGTGACCCATTCATTAGCTTACATAATTTCTATCGATTAGGTTTCTTTGAAGATTTATTTTATTATTTTTCTAGAAATTAATCCTTTCACCGTACAAAAACTAAGTTTCTGTTGAGATTAGTATACACGGAAACAATACCTCCACAATGCCTGTCTTGAATTGTTATTTTCCAATCCTATTTTGGACTGTAGGACTTGAAGTGTAGTGGGTTCTCTGCCATAAGATTATATAGTAAATGCAAACAGGAAAGTACAAGTAATTAAATCAGTAAACAAAGAAAGCATATTCAAGGCATCCTGTTGCTCCATTCATATAATTTGAGAGGCCCTGAAGTTCTTTCTCAGTGCCTTCATTCACATGCAGGAATGTACAACACACATAACAAAAAAGAGGTAAATCTGGGCATGGGGACCTTGGGAAAGGGTTGAAGAGGGGAGGGGAGAGGCAGAGAGGAGTGCAGAGAAAAATGTAGAGTTCAATAAAAGTCAATTAAAAAATCACAAAAAACAATATATATAAAAAAGAGGTAAATCTACACACACACACACACACACACACACACACACACACACACACACACACATATATATATATACACACACACATATATATATATACTGTTGGGAAATCACACTCAAGTCTCAAGAGAATATGTGGAATGCTACCAGAACTGCAGTTTACCTTCCTGTTCTATTGGTCAGTAGCCTCGGGAGTGAAATCCATGATTCTGGTTTCTACCAGTGTAGGTTAGTTTACTTTGAGAAGTTCATTAAAGAGGAGGCTCAGCAGTTCAGCACATTGGTAGCTATTCCAGAAGACCAGTATTCAATTCTCAGAATTCACGTGGCAGCTCAAAAGCTCTGTAACCCCAATGTGCCATAACGTGCTATAGAGATATATAAACACTTACATGT